TTTTGGAACAAGATGGGTCTTCAGAAACAAACTTGATGAGCATGAAACCATTTCTAGAAAAAGTCAAGGCTTGTGGTGCAGGGGTACAACCAAGAGGAGGGGATTGACTATGATGAAACTTTTGCTCCTATAGCCAGAATGGAAGCCATTAGAATTCTGATAGCATTTGCTGCTCATATGGAATTTAAGCTCTTTCAAATGGATGTCAAGAGTGACTTCTTGAATAAGAATCTGAATGAAGAAGTGCATGTTAAACAGCCCCCAGGCTTTGAAGATATAGAACTGCTAAATCATGTGCTGAAGTTAGACAAGACTTTGTATGGGTTGAAACAAGCTCCCAAAGCTTGGTATGAACGCCTGTCAATATTTTTTCTTGCAAATGGGTTCAAAAGAGGTAAAATTGATAATTCTCTGTTCTTGAAATCCAGAGGAAAGGAGTTGCTGATTATGCAGGTTTATGTGGATGATATCATTTTTGGAGTCACTACATATTTACTTTGCAAGGAATTTGCTGATCTGATGAGCAGTGAGTTTGAAATGAGCATGACGGGAAAAACTCACTTTCTTCCTAGGCCTGCAAATCAAACAGTTTGTTCAGGGTACCTCTATATGTCAAGAGAAATACATCAAGGAACTGCTTTGAAAGTTCAATTTGATTGAGGCAAAAGTTCTTGACACTCCCATGAGCACAAGTGTGAAGCTTGACTTAGATGAAGATGGAGTTGAGGTAAATCAGACTATGTATAGGGGAATAATAGGGTCATTTCTGTACCTCCCTGCAAGCAGGCCAGACATAGTGTTCAGTGTAGGGATGAGTGCAAGATTTCAAGCAGCACCAAAGGAATCCCATCTAAAGGAAGCTAAACGCATCTTGAGATACTTGAAGGGAACTTAGGACTCGGTCCTCTTCTACCAGACATGAAACATTTTCTTGGATCATCACTGATTTCCTGAGGGACAATGTTGAGAAGCAAAATGTGGTGATGAAGCTCTGTAAGACTGAAGACCAGCTGACTGATATCTTTACAAAGTCATTGAGTAAATAATGTTTCATTAAAAACATGATGAGGCTGGGGATGCACAAGATTACCTGATTCCTTGACAAGTTTGCACAAAAATCTTCTATTTTGATTGTGTTACAGAGGGCAGGTATCTATACTTGTTTTAATGTTTGTCATAAAAGAATTCACTTCTGGTACCTTAATGCATGTATACACTAATGGTGTGTTTAGCTGAAAGGAAGGTTCAATCACACAGGCAGAGTTACAAACTGAAAGGAGGACCTGGTCCTCATGAGGTTAGTATCAATTATACAACATTATCTGTATGTCAACATCACTGCCACGTGTCCCTCGCCCATTCATCGCGTCAGTTTCAGACGTCTTTTTGCTTTTAAACCAAAGGTCGCTACTGTTTGGGGACCCGATGTCTTTTTGGTTTTATTTACTACTTCTCTTAGTGAATCAAATTACAAAATCTTATCAAACAATTCTCGTTGAAATTCACTAATCCCCTTTCCAAAGCTTCTCTCTTTCTCAAAATGCCTAACTCTAATTCTTCTTCAAAGATCTCCATCTCCCAAGAAGTTGAAAACCCTAGTTCATTGAACTTCTCCTTTCCTACTCCAGAAGGCTGCAAAGAAATCTCCTATGAAAAGGGAGAAAGTTAGAAAATAGGTGGCTGAAAATTAAAACTCATAAAGGGACCAGGTCCTAGGGTTCAAGAACAAAGTGAAGAAAAGGAAATGACAAGGGAGGAGCGGATAACAACAATGGAGAACCAAAAGGTTTTGAATGGCAGAGTCTTTGACCCTGACATCTTAACCAAATTTGGCATGTCAAATCTTTCTTTTTTGTCTCCATTCAAGGTTGGAACCATCTCTTACCAGTTCCGTACTTGCACAAACCTGAGGTGCGTGAATTTTTCTACAAAATGAAACTTCTGGAAAGTGGTGGAATCGCGACTACTGTCAGGAATGTTGAAACATATTTGGATGAAGAAATATTGGGGATCATTTTAAGGGTTCCTGTGGAAGGAATTCTAACGATTGAAGGTTGTAAACCATATAGTGACTCCACAAAATGTGGAGATGTCAAGAATGCAGGGTTACCAAAAAGGTTTCTCAAAGGGGAATATCAGTTGCTTTTTGAGTTCATCAACAAGGTGTTAGTGCCCAAAACTGAAAAGAGAACAGTGGCATTTGCTGCTGATCTTTATCTCATGGAGAAACTTGATGAACTTGAAGAGATCAACCTCTTTGCCATTATGCTGGAATGTGAGTGTGTTGAAGAAAAAGTTAGGGGCAAATCTCAAAAAGATGTTCTAGAGCAGCCCTGCTGCTCTTAAACGGGAAGTGATTGATCTTACTGAGATTCTGAATAACAAGGAGATTGAAATCGCTTCACTGAGGTCTGAATTACAGAAGGCGGTTTCGAGGGGACCTGGTACTAGTAATGGAAATGAGCAGGTGTTGCAAAAGTTGAGGGATGAAAATGAAAGGCCGCTGAAGACAAATGCCTCACTCAGTGAGGAAGTTAAGGCTCTCAACATGAAGCTTATCAAGGCTCATGAGGATGCAAATGAGCGTCTGTCTCTATTTATGTGAATCCTCAATCCCTTTCCCTCTCCGTCCTAAAAGTGTCTTGTTTCCCTAGTTTCCCTCTTTGTTCTTCAATCCTGATTAAAACTCTTATGGCTTTGTGTTTGTTTTGACTGACTACAGTGGTCAGTATTTGTGATCTAATGCTATTTCTGTTTCTGCCTTGTTAATGTGTGGTTTAATATTCTAATTATGCTTACATACACATGTTCTATGTGGCCGAAGGCCCTGAATTCTTTATTGCCTTGCATTTAACTTGAGTATGTTTACTGCTTTACCTTTTCAATGATGTCAAAAGGGGGAAGTTTTGTTGTAAAGGTTGGTTGTGGAATTAGGGGCATTGAACTAAGGGGGAACATACAAAGGGGGAACTGATTAAGGGGGAATACCAGTTTTATTGAATGAATGTTTGTTCACTCACGTGAGGAGTTATGCAGGTTGTTTGTCATCATCAAAAAGGGGGAAATTGATAAATGCTTATGATCCTAGATGTTTTGATGATCTCCTCACAAATGCAGGGACCTGGTCCTCTGCAGAGTATGAATACTCGTCCAGTGGTCGAAGTGTTGTATAGCTGGAAAACTGTCTGCGTCAGAAAGTTGGTGAAGCTACAGAGTACTCCACCAATCAGAAGCGACGAGGTTGCTTGTTCATTGGATAATAACTTTTCATATCTAAATATATTCAAGGAAAAACAACAAACTAATTCATTCATTCAAAAGAAGAGAGCCAACACGTATTCTCAAGAACTTACTAAGAGAAGTTTGAAAGGGACCTGGTCCCTGCAAGACTGCGATGTGAAAGGACGACAAGACAATTGTCAGAAAAGCTGCCACTTATGATGTGGTAGGTGCACAACTTTTCTAAACAGCAGGCTCTCAGCCAATGGGCGGTTCCAAGTAGTTTGTGTTCATTTTAATATAGTCTCTTCCAACAAAACATAAACTCAAGATTTTGGCAAATAAAAACTCACAAGCTTAAAAAGGAAAAATCCATCTTCAAGGTAGAACAATACTCACACTCAACAAAAGGATCTGATAAAGTGTTGAAGCATCTCTGTTGAGTTTGAGTTTTGTGTCTATCATTTTATAGGTTTTTGCATCTTGAAAATTCTCAAGTATACAAGCAAAGCCTATCTTGGTGAAGTATTCTCAGGCAAGCACAACAACGACCTGATCGAGCTGCAAACTTCAGAGTGTGTCTTACACTACAAAAAAAACCTGAATTGCCAACAAAACTATCCGTTGCTAAATTGATTAAATTGGTTGGCAAATGATTTTTCCAACCGAATGCCAACTAATGTTAATCTGTTGCTAAAAAGCTTGTCACTAAATTTTACCAACCCATTTCAGTTAGTTGGTAAAATTACCAACTAAAGATCAGTTGGTAAACACATAAAAGAATTGTTGGTAATTGTTGAAATGTGCCCTTGAAATTTTCGTTGGTAAATTCACCAACCAATTTTCGGTTGGCATATTGTTGGGAAGTTTACTAACGAAGAGAAAAGAGTTAGTAAATTTGGTTCTTCACTATTCAATTATGTTAGTGATATGTTGGCAAATATACTAAAATAAAATAAAATGTTGTTAGTGTTTGGTTAGCAATTATATGACAGATAACAACTTGGTTGGTAAGCTCGATAGTAAATTCACCAAAATAAATTGGTAATCAGTTTGTAATTTCGGTTAAGAAAAAAGTGTGTTGATATTTCGTGGGTAAATTACCAACGAATTTTAAATCTATAACTAAGAATGACTATCTACTCATGTAACTTACGTTACTAATTGGTTAGTATTTTAGAAACACAAAAAGCTCATTAGTAATTCGTTAGGAAGCTTACTAACTTATTGTGATTTTGTTGGTAATATATATTATTTATGGTCAATATTCGGTTAGTGAATCGGTAATGTATATTGCCATATTACTAACTAAATGGTAATTCGATAGTAAAGTTTCACTTTATATATTTATATTAATCAATAGCTTTTATGAATCTTAAAAAGTCTGAAAACATAATAAAATCCAGTGATCCTTTGATAAATTATAACTTGACTAAAACAATGCAAAAGCTAAGATGAAGAGTTCAAAACAAATCCAAATACAGAAACAAACAATGAAAGATATGCCTACAATAGTTTGGAAATTTTAAATGACTCATATCATCATTTGATGATGGGTCATGTCTAAGCTAATGTGGTGTACCAGTTGGAGGTGTACCAGCGGGCAGTGTACCAGGGGGTGGTTTAGGCAGCCCAGCTATGAGGATGGGCAAACGTTCTTGGAGAATCTTATCAACTTGCTCTTGCATTTCTAGCTGCATTTCGTTTTTCATTTCTTCATACAACTCTTCTCTCATCTTTTCTCTCATCTCATGTTTCATCTCCTCCTTCATTTCTTGAACTTATTCCTTCACTCGAGCATCAAAACTACAATCTTGAGGTTGGGAAGTTGAAGCAGATGATGAACCAACGTTCTCATAGAAAACAACTTGAGAACCAAGACCATATATACATGTCTTCTTAACCCCACCCACTTCATCCATGTAAATCTTTGAAAAATCTACTGTCGGAGACTCGCCAGATTCATCTACAAGCTGAGATGCAGATGTTATCTTAGCCATTACAGCATCCTGAAAAATAAATAAATGATAATATGTTAAGAAAAAATGTCTAGCGATTATAAATATACAAGACAAATGATATTAGTCGACCATCTTTGTCATTGACAATACCACCACACTTATCATTTCTACAGCTGCAATTAATATTTATTTTGACATATGCACCTGTAGTTCATATTCAGTGTACAAAAATAGTCTTTTAGGGACTAAGTTTTTTTTTTCCAGAATTGAAAAGATAGCATTTCATATTAGTTAGTAAAGCTATGATAGTTCAAAATCATACAACTAAACATGCTAAGAACTTTTGAAAGGAAGGATATAGAGGATCACCAAACAAAAGTACAAACCTACCAAAACTAAGTTATTCTATGCAAATCTATGCTTTTTAGATGCAATGTAATTCACATTGCCTAAACACGAGGAAGCCTAACATATAGGCTTCAAAAGAACCATAAACTTAGTAAACCTCTAATGTGTTGTCTTTTAATAAGATTACAGAATTGGTCTTAAAGTTGAAAAGTAAACCTCATCATTCACTTTTTAATTGGTTTTGTGGCTGTGAGAAAAATTCTTTGGCATTCTTTGCCACATCTGCCTCCAGTATTGCTTCTAATACAATGTCAGAACCTTTTGCTCCAGCTATACGTTTTGGCAACAATCCTGCACTTTCAGCAGAGACAGGAAGTACAACAATACTGCCAGATTCATCAGTCAAGAAGGGGACCTACACTTACTCTAGAAGAGAAAACTACTCTAACAAGAACCAAGCTTACAACTCGTGAAGTCATACAAACTGAAAATGTTACATTTTAGAAGAGTCTTATGGGTTCTGCAGCTCCTACGCTACCAGCAGTAGACATATCGATTATGAGAAGGGGACCTACTCTATCAAGAAGCAAGCTTACAACTCTTGAGGTTATACAAACTGAAAATGTTACATTTTAGAAGAGTCTTATGGGTTCTGCAGCCTCTACGCTACCAGCAGTAGACATCGATTATGAGAAGGGGACCTACACTTACTCTAGAACAGCAAACTACTCTATCAAGAACCAACCTTACAACTCTTGAGGTCATACAAACCGAAAATGTTACATTTTAGAAGAGTCTTATGGGTTCTGCAGCTCCTACGCTACCAGAAGTAGACATATCGACTATGAGAAGGGGACCTACAGTTACTCTAGAATAGCAAACTATTCTATGTACTGAAGTCACCAACCAAGAGATTATAGATAGTCTCGGTTGCACTGATAAAGCAGGGCCAGTGATGCACAATGATGTTTTGTTAGCTGTTAAAGATTTCCTCCACACTAGAAAATTATATAGAGACATCAACTGCAGTAATATGACATTAAACTCCCTTATTATAATCTTCAAATATTATAACCATGTGTTTAATATTTGGGATAAACATGATGAATGACGACTAAGTAAATTCTCAACAGAAATTAAGAAAGATAATCAACAATGTTTGGTGTTACTTACATATGTGCTCTTAGACTTCAGATCCACAAACTCATCGTTTCTTTTGGTTGTGTCTTCTTCAAAAGTTCGTGTGGATGAGGTGGCCGTCCTAGAACAGTCGCCTAAAATAGAAATCACATCCATCAAAGTTATTGCTAGAAGAATAACGTTGAAAAAACTGTAACTTGACAAAATGAAAATAATTGTACCAGTTTTCTTGCATGCTCTCGGTGAGTCCGGGAGCCTCCAGTATGGCGCGAGGGACCAGATCCTTCACCACATTTCTCACTTAGTTGATTTTTGGAACATTGTGCAGATTTAGCCTTAAAATTGTCAGTATCATAGTGAGGCTTCCAGCTCTCCCAAACAGATTTTGGGATATTTTTTCGTTTCTCCTCAGAGGATCTTGCTTCACATAGCATACCCTTGTATTGTATTGAACATTTTTTTATAAAATGATCCTTTATGGAACCTTCAGTTGTCATATTCCAATGGAATCGCTTCTGTTTAAAAAGGGAAAGAAAAATATCACATGAATTGATATAATAGAAATTTTAAATGAATAAAATACATAAATAAAATGATAGTAAAATGGAATTTATGGGTATAATTAGTACATGAATATTATAGTAGAAGGAGACACAATTACGTATCAAAAGATGTACCAAAACAAGTATAATGGGTGTTGAAACAAGTCTGGTAAGAGAGAAAGTATATTGAAGAAGCTCGAATGAACATGGCTAAACTTGGAAGTAAGGCCAAATGCTCTGTTAGAAAATTATATGTGACGATTAGAGGAAATTATCAAAAAGTCTCATGGAGGAGGTTAGCTGCAGTAACAGTGGTCCACCTAAATGGACATTCATTATGTACTTGGATATACTGGGACGATTATACACCAGAGATTGGTTTCTTGGATAGGGCATTGTTGATTATATGAGTTGTCCAATGTGCGGAGATACAAACGATACTATAGAGCACTTGCTTTATCAATGTACTTCCTCCCAGAACGTATGGACTAAGTTGTTATAGTGGCAGGGCATAACAAGAGCTCCTACGGGACGGAAGGATGAAGTAGACTGGGCAAGTAATTTAATGAAAGGAAAGAGTCACAAAGCAGATATATAGAGAGTTGTCTTGGCTGGTAGTGTATACCATATTTGGATGGAAAGGAATCAACATATTTTCAAAGGCACACCAAGACAACCTGAAGTTATAGTTAGGCAAGCAATCCAAGAGGTGTTTCATAACAGTAATAACAATAGGAAATTTTGCTTCATTATTAGAAACTATGAACTTGTATCCCTAAATATTCTTTTTTTTTCTAGATGTAGCAGATGAGACAACCTAAGTTTATCTTTTAGCTAGTTGTAGTGGTTCTGTTTCATCAGCTATGTTTTTCTTTTGTTCTTGTTTGATCTGTAGAGTTCTACTTTCGTAATAAATCAATAGTTACTAAGAAAAACAGATAGTATAGTTTACCTTAAACTCCTCCCAGTAGAAGTCCTTAATCTCTGGTGTAACTGACTTCCAATCATATCCTTCGGGATCCAATTTTTCCTTAAAGATTTTTGTGATCTCCCGAGATACATCGTTACTTGGCTCCAAACTTGTATAAATATAACAAAAGCACACAGAGAATTGAAAAGAAGAAATTTGCAGTATAACAGAAAATGGAATATAGAATAATGTTATTTGTTTTAACTTTGAACTGGAAATCTCTATTTTTTACAGCAGGTATGCAAGTTGTATATATATAAACTAAATAACAACTTTTTCTCCTAAAATAACTCCAACAAAGTCCTATTCAAATAAATAGTAATATGATATCATTCCTAAATAACGGGAACGGAAATATTTGACTCAATTAACTTAAAAACAATCACAAGTTAAAACAATATAAGAGAACATAAGAAGATGCACTATTTTTTAACAAATGACATTATAATTATAAAATATGTGAATAGTTAAAAAGGGTGCAATTTATAATCAAGGCAGCAAGACAAATGTTTCCACTGAAGCTTCATTTTTTTAGTACCTTCGTATAATCAAAACTTCATAAAACATGTAACTCAAAATATGAAGGCAATGAAAAGTATTATGTTCTTCTACATCTTCTATAGTTTTAAACATGTAACAAATGACATTATAATTATACTGTGATTGAAATAGTTGAAAGGAAATTGACCTCCTAGAAAATGTAATATCTCTCTTTTAGTACTTACTGTTTGCACTTTCAAACAGTAAGTACTTTTATTAAATTCCATAATCACTTTGTTAAGTTTTGAATGATGTGACTTAATCTATAAAAAATATAAACTTATCTTTTAGTAGGGGGATCAAAAATAGTGTACCGAATAGTGAACCCAATTCACAACCATGTTAGAGAAATTTCCATATCAAGGGGATTCAAAAATACAAGTCTATATATTCACTATATGAATGCTATATATTAAATGAGAAAATAGAGCACATCAGAAGTTCTACAATTGACTGATTGAATCAAACAAAAAGGAGAAACTAAGCTTGATAAAGAATACTTACCACTTAGCGGAAAGGATTGTGATACTGAGAATCCAAGAGCGGCAGATGAATTGCGGGTGAGTGTAGTCGGAGACAATCTGTGAAATGGGATTAAAATGAAAAGGATTTAGAAAAAGTAATGCTGAACGTGGGCAGAAATTAGAGAAAAAAACTAAATAGTGGTGCAAGTCTTCGTATTTTAGGGAGGTGGGGAGTTTAGCAGGAAAAGTTTTTGCTTTTTTTTCTCTTCTTTTCAACCTTTTTTTTTCCTTTCAAATTTAATAAATTCTTCCAATTTTTATTTGAAGTATTTGTACAATTCTTTTAAGATACTTTTTTATTCACCACAAATAAAGTCAAAAACAAAATCCAATCTTTAAAGTGATGAAATTAAAATACAGAAATGTAATAATACGCAGGAATTCGAACAAGAACTGAAATCTACAACAAGCTAAATACCTCTCAGCAAGAACAAGCAACACATGCAATGATTAATTGAATAAAAAAGGGGTGAATGGGGATGAAGACATACCCAGAAACACGATGTGGGTCTTTCTGTAGATCTGAGATGCAGTCCATGAGTTGTAATACTCTTGAAAGATTCAAGACCCGATTTTCTCTATGAAATACTCCATATATGAAATCACTGCTGGGGATTAGAGCTTGAGATGAAAATTTAGGCGATTTGTAGCTGAATATGTTCCACTCTTGAGAGGAGATCTATCATTGATATGTAGTGGAACTTAGAAAACAGATGAGTAAGAAGATTATCCAGTTCGATCTAGCTAAGCATAGGGAATTCTTGATGAATTTTTTCTTGTTCATTCAGCTTAGTGAAGAACAAAGTGAGCTGATAGTTGTTCTTGTCTATTCCGCCTGCGATTTTGTTGTTGTATTAGGACATCAATTTTTATTTTCTTTTTTCTTTCTATATTACTTAATAAAATTCCCTCTATTAAGTTATAATATATGAAGTGGGTTATTTTTTTAAAAAAATATAAGGGTGAAAACTAAAATAAAAAATATGCCTACGTTTTTGTTGCTCTTTATGGACATCAATTTTTGTTTTCTCTTTTTCTTTCTATATTATTTATTAAAATTCCCTCTTCTAAGTTATAAATATATGTTAAGTGGGGTTTTTTTTTAAAAAAATATAAGGGTGAAAACTTAAATAAAAAATATTTCGTACTATTTTTTATTCTAATTTATTTGATATAGTTAATTTAATTGGACATGAATGAGTGAGATCCAACGTGGATACAATGTTGATAATGTTGAAAGATTTTTCATATAAAGAAATGTGTCATTTTTTTCGTATTGACTAAATAGAAAATTGTTTAGAGTGTAGTATGTAAACATGTTACACGACATATCTTTATTTTCACATGATATATATATATATATATATATATATATATAAACTACGTTAATTAACTTTCCAATAAAATATATTTATGTATTCATGAATTGTAGATATTTTGTGCCGACTAAATGAGTCATTTCTAATAGTTCGATAACATATTGGAGCTTTTCTCTAAATACAAATTAGGTCTAATAAAGATTTATAGCTAATGTTTTTAAAGTTCGTACATGATATTAAATTAATAGTAATAGTAATACACATATTTCAATAGACACGTTCATCACAATTGTAGACTTAAATCAAAAGAAAGAGGCCTCTACTACTTCTTCGTACAACCCGGACATACCATCCTATTAGACCAGAAATGACCTTCCCAAGCTAACCGCACTAACGAAATTCTAATTCGAGCACCTTTATGATTTTTTTTTAACAAAGTCAATATTTGGCTAAAATTTTGAAAGATAAAACGTCTAACGGCACAGACAGAAAACGAAAGCCTCAAAAGTCAAACCAACCATCCTATTAGACAAAAAATGACCTTCTCGAGGTAACCGCATTGACAAAATTTTCATTCGAGCATGTTTACCAAAACTGTTGACCGAAGTCAAATTTTGGCCAAAACATAAAAGATTTACGCCAAACGGCACAAACTGAAAATGAAAGCCTCAAAACCCGAACCAACAATCATATTAGACCAAAAATGAAATTTCAAAGCTAAGCCCATTGACGGATTTCTCATTTGAGCACCTTTAGCAAAATAATTGACCAAACTCAAATTTTGGCCAAAAGTTAAAAGTTAAAAGGCCTACCGGCACAAACTGAAAAACAAAAACCTAAAAAAAAACCAAACATCCTATTAGACAAAAAAATGAACTTCCGGACACAACTACACTGATGGAATTCTAATTTGACCACATTACCAAATATATTGACCGAAGTTAAATTTTTGCCAAAACTTAAAAGTTAAAACGTCTAACAACACAAACTGAAAAAAAATCCTCAAAACCCGAACCAACCACCCTACTAGACCAAAAATGACCTTTCGAAGCTAACCGCACTGACGAAATTCTCATCTGAGCATGTTTACAAAAACTGTTAAGCAAAGTCAAATTTTGGCCAAAAATTAAAAGTTAAAACGCCTAATGACACAAACTGAAAATGAAAACCTCGAAATCGGAACAAACCATCCTATTATACAAAAAATGACATTCCGGACACAACTACGCTGATGGAATTCTCAATTGACCACGTTTACCAAATATATTGACCAAATCTAAATTTTGGCTAAAACTTAAACGTTAAAACAAACACCTAACGGTACAAACTGAAAATAAAAGCCTCAAAACCCGAACCAACAATCCTATTAGAACAAAAATGAAATTTCAAAGCCAACCGCACTGACAGATTTCTCATTTGAGCACCTTTGCCAAAAAAATTGACCAAAGTCAAATTTTGGCCAAAAGTTAAAAGTTAAAACGCCTATCGGAACAAACTGAAAATGAAACCCTCAAAACCAAATGAACAATCCTATTAGAAAAAAAAATCTTCCAGATACAACTACACTGACAGAATTCTCATCTGACCAAGTTTACCAAATATATTGACCAAAGTTAAAGTTTTGCCAAAACTTAAAAGTTAAAACGCCTAACGGTACAAATTGAAAATGAAAGCCTCAAAACCCGAACCAACAATCATATTAGACCAAAAATGAAATTTCAAAGCTAAGCCCTCTGATGGATTTTTCATCTGAGCACGTTTGCAAAAAATGTTAAGCAAAGTCAAATTTTGGCCAAAAGTTAAAACGTCTAACGACACAAACTGAAAATAAAAGCCTCAAAACCCAAACCAACCATCCTACTAGACCAAAAATGACCTTATGTAGCTAACGATGCTGATGAAATTTTAATTTGAGCAAGTTTATCAAAAATGTTGACCAAATTTAAATTTTGGCCAAAACTTAAAAGTTAAAACGCCTAACAACACAAACTGAAAATAGAAGCGTCAAAACCCGAACCAACCATCCTACTAGACCAAAAATGACCTTCCAAAGCTAACCGCGCTGATGGAATTTTAATCTTAGCACATTTACCAAAAAAATTGACCAAATCTAAATTTTGGCCAAAATTTAAAAGTTAAAACGCCTAACAGCACAAACTGAAAATGGAAGCCTCAAAACCTGAACCAACCATCCTATTGGATAAAAAATGACCTTCCGAAGCTAACAACGCCGACGAAATTCTCATCTAACCACGTTTATAAAAAATGTCAAGCAAAATCAAATTTTTGGCCAAAAGTTAAAAGTTAAAATGACTAACGGCACTAACTGAAAATGAAAACCTCAAAACCCGAACAAACCATTCTATTAGATAAAAAATGACGTTCCATAAAGCTAATCACACTATGGAATTCTAATCCGATCACGTTTACCAAAAATATTGACCAAAGTCAAATTTTGGCTAAACCTTAAAAGATATTGAGCAAAGTCATTTTTGGTCATCGCGGCTAGCTCCGGAAAGTCATTTTTGGTCAAAATGACGACCTTACTTTTTCCATTGGGTTATCAATTGCTTTCTCATCATCACTGACACCTTTAAATACTCCATTTTCTCAGATTCATAATCAGATAAGGCATCGTCATTATTTTGTTCATCTCATGCGTCCATATTCTTAACCACTTTTTCATCTTCTTCATCGTTAGTGCACTGAAAAAAATTCACGTTCAGCTTCTTCAAGATATTTATCTAATATTTACTTTTGTTTCAATACTAGATGATGATTTACCAAACAATCTAACTTCTCAATTGGTAAATTTACCAACTATTCAAATATAAGTTAGTAATTTAATAATTTACTGATAAATTTTATCACAGTTGGTAATAGTTACTATCCAATTAAACATTCATGTGTAATATTACCAACTAAAAATTAATATGTTGGTAAATATTACCAAATGGATTAATGATCGGTTGGTATATTACCAACTATTTTAATTATGTTAGTAATTTACAAACTACAATCTTTATTCGTCGGCAAAATTTCCAACTAATTAGATATTTGTTGGCAAGTTTACCAACAAATCACATTTCGTTACTAATTTACCAACACATTTATATTTGGTTGGTAATTTAGCAACAAAATATTGCCGTTGGTAAATGGTTTGTTAGTAATTCATTGGTAATTTGTTAATAAATTATATAAACAAATTTGTTGTCATATTTACCAACCGATATATACTTCGTTGGTAATATTACTAACAAAAGAAGTGCGTTAGTGATATTTCAGTTGGTAATTCATTAATAAAAAGTTGCTAAATTTGGTGCCATTGTTTCCCGCCATATTTACCAACTAAAATATTTTGTTGGTAATATTTTGGTTGGTAATCTGTTAGAATTTCGTTGTTAAGTTTTCAAAAATAATTCGGTTAGAAATATGTTGGTAATTTGTTAGTAAAATACTAACCAACTAAAGTTGTTAGGAAAATATGTTGGCAATTTCAGGTTTTTTTGTAGTGTTAGGAGTTTTACTTCTGTGCTTATATTGTAAATATGTTCCTAATCTATAAAGGATTCAGATTCTTGTGTTCGTTGTAAAAGTCTAAGTCAGTTGAGGCTAACTGATTTAGTGGGCAGCATTGTTTGCTGCTTAGTCAAATTCTAAGTCATCTAGGAGCTAGTTGATTTAGTGGGCGGTGTGGTATCCGCTTAGCAAAGTCTAAGTTATCTAGGGGTGATAGCTTAGTGGGCAGTGTTGTATCTGCTCTAGCTCATCTAAGTAATAGGAAGTATTGCTTAGAGTTGGGATTAGTAGGCTAATCTCAGTTTGTAAACTTGCTTTTACTTTTGCTTGAGAAGATTAGTGAAAGCAGTTTTTGAAAAGTCCTGGCAAGCCAGGTCATGGTTTTACTCCCTTGAGCAAAGAGGTTTCCACGTAAAGTTGTTGTGCAATCTTTACTTTCAGCACGTTGTTTATTTTCTGTTATTGTAACTGTGCTGAGGACCTGGTCCCATCTAGACCAGTGGACGCATGCATTCCAACAATTATCTTATCTCGAACGTCTTCTAATCTTGACTTATATAGAGAAAATTAACGACCTTTCTTCATGAGCTCTCTTGCTTCTTGTTATCAATATCCAACCCTTTTTTTGAATTATGAAGACAATTTTCATAGTTATAGAATGAAAGAGTTGTGGTGTGGACAAACTCCTTTTGGCCAATTA